TACTTTTTTCTTGGTGACATACATTGCATTTAAGAATAAATGACATGTGTATCACGTGGTTGCAGAATGCAAGAGACCACTCTAATCATCAACAAGTCACTTATACATTTTCATATACATACTAATAATGTATTAAATTGACAAGATTTTTCAATTTTACTCTCATTAAAAATTCTTTCTTAGTATTTATAAATCATTTTTATATTTCTCTCTTCCTTTTCTTTTTCCAATGAGAATTAAATAAGGGTAAAATTAAAAAACAACTATTAAATATACTATAAATAACTTATATTTATAACTAAAATTTCTCCCTATAAGTAACTTACAGCTAGCAGCTAGGAGTAGAATAATACCAAACGTGCATTTAAACATTCAAAAAAGGAAAAAGAATAAATTAAAGAAAAGCAGGCATGGGGCCCCATGTACTGATACATGCCCTCAGGAGAAATTCTTGCGCGAATCCAAAGCACCACGTCATTTAAGGTGGTGTTTGGTTTATCCATATCATTTAAAAGCGACAAAATTTTTCACACATATTTATTTGTATACAGTAAAATTATTTTAAAATTATAGTTTGATTTTTATTCAAATACTCCTTAGATCACAAAATAACGTGGTACTTTCAATTCACGCAAGAATTTTTCTTGATTTACTTCGTCTTTTGAGTAATTTTATTAGTCATAACTTAATTAATTTGAGAGAGTTGTGAATGAATTGAAAAAGACACTCGTAACTACTAGTAGTCTAAATTAACAAAATTACCATTAAGACTAATTAATTAGATGAAAGCAAGGTCTATGAAGCTAATAAGGGATTGGTGGATCCGTTGCTTTTAATATACTAGTAGTTGTTAATTTAAGAAACTCTTTATCTTTATTTTAGTTCCTTTTCTTTTCCATCAATTAACTCTAATTTAGGTTACTTAAATGAAAAATATAAGAGAAAATGATAAAAAAATACCTTTAAAATTACAAAATCATAAATCAGGACTTAAATTTTTGTAATATCTTTTGAAATTTTGAAATGTTGATCTAAAGGCGTCACTACCCTCACTTTTTTTAATGCCCCTAAGCAACCCTTGCCGCCATTAGAGCTCCAATAATGATGATCCCGTTGACAGCCAGCCACTACTGCTTAAGCTCAGGTGACCCCTGTCGGCCCCCGACAAAGTTCCTATTGCAATTTTTGAATTTTTCAAATAAGAGTAGTAAATAGCAAAATCAGAGTAGTAATTAAATGGTAACATAAATGTAGTAAATAATCCGCAATAGAGGAGTTCCTCATACATTTTTTGAATTTGTGAAATTAAACAAGAATAGTAAATAACAAAATCTAAGTCGTATATAGTGAAATAAATGTAGTTAATAGTAAGCAACCTTTCTCCATAAATCTATTCAAGTATAGTGTAACATCTTAATTTTTTATTCTTATGATTTAAATATATTTGGAAAAGAAAATTTATTCACGGTAAATAAAATTTTACCATTTAATTATTTAAGTAAAGAAGATTTATCTAAAATATGATTTATTGACATAAAAGAATCATAAAATGAAAGAACATTAGGAAAAAAAAGGGGGTCTTAAACACTAATTTTCTCAATTATCATTAGGTGTAATATAACCCTAGCTATTATACTCAACTAGATCTACCTAAGGGCTATAATATTATGGTGATTAGAGAAAATTTTTGAGATCTGAGTATCAAGTAAATATTGAGTTTTAACAATAGATGACCATAGAAATTTAATGGTAAATTAGTAGTTAATTTTAATCAGTTTAAATTTGTCTATTTGTTATTTTTAGAATTTAAATTAAAATTTTTTAAAATTTTTTTTCCCTTAATATATAATATTTATATTGAGTAAATTTGAGTCAAATAATTTATTTTGATTGTCTGATGTATTATTGAGATTTTAACTAGTTTAGAATGTTGAAAATGTTGAGGATATATTATTAAAAAAATTTTAAATTTAATTTTGAAACTTAAATTATAACTTAAGAATTTTATAAAATTAAATGAAATAAAATTTGAGGTTAACTTGTGGTTCAAATGAATTGTTTGGAGTGAGGAAAAATTTTAAACGTGGTTAGAATAAATAATTGAGAATTTTAATTTGAATTTAGAATTATGGGCATTAAATATATATTAATAATAAATTTTGTATAATTAGGTTATTTTTTTCAATATATTAAATTGTATCTAGATTACTGTGTAGATTATTATGCGTTCCGGAGTTGTAATTTGTACTTTTACATCTTAAGCTTGTAAAGTTAACTTAAAGTTGAGATAACTAAGGTTAATTTATTTTATATACATGCTTTGGATTTTAAAGTATTTACGATGCTCTTATTTTCTAAAATATTTTCTCAATACAGTAATTATTTTTTTATATGGCAAATTTTAGTGAAGTAGGAAGTATGTTGATTTAATTATGCATGAGTTGTATTTTGTTGGAAATTATGTCTTCTCGTTGTGCTGAATTTATCATACTAACATCATGTTATTAAATAAAATGGAAATGTGTGGTACTTTGTTTGAAACTATATCCTCTCACGTTGAAGAACTCTAAAATTTCTAATTTATATTGTAATTATGCATGGGTTCACATATGGAGATTGTGATTTGTTATGTAGTGGATAACTATTCTTGAAACTCAAACAGTATGCCTACACTACTGATTATATTGTTTGGCTTTTCGACAGACCATTGCAGTTCTTTCTTTTCTTCGGCTTGGAATTGACATAGAGCTCTTGGATAGATACCTCTTACACCATAGTCCATGTTTGGGCAATATATGGGTAAGAGGGGGCCCACTGACTTGATGTAAGTAGGGTGTTTTTTAGCTGGGTTACTAAGCACATAAGGTCTGAGTCCACATCAATGAGTATAAGCCCAAGCCACTAGTCCACACATAAGTAGGGTGCTATGTTTACTCGAGTTTGACAATTGTTTGACTAGTGGATTGGGCTTATCTCCTTTCTCTTGTGCTCTTGGTATCTCATCTTTGTAAAAAGGGGTTAGTGACCGGTTGTTGTGCCTTGGGCCCTGAGGTTTTGTCGTTGAGTTGTTAGCGTTCTTTTGTACTATGAGTCCTGTATGATAAAGTGGTGAAATTGTTTTCTATCATGATTAATTTTTTAAAATAATGAATGTTTTGTTTTATGAGGAAAAGATTTTTCATGTGGGATTTCCTAATAATGAAACTAGATTTCCAGATAATGTAGTAAATAATGAAATTAGAGTATTAATAATGTAGTAATATACTTGGTAACGGGGGTTTTCTCCAATAATTTATTGGAGTGTGTGAGTTTCTACTACATTTTTCAAATTTTTAAAACAAGAGTAGTACAAATAATGAAACCACGGTAGTAAATAGCGAGCAAAATGTAACAAGTAGTCAGCAACACGGGCATTCTCAAGTTCCTAACATATTTTTCAAATTTCTAAAACAAGAATATTAAATAACGTAGTAATTGTAATATATTCACTTACTTCATTATTTGCTCGAATAAATTCATGAATAAGCTCTATTTACTACATTTACTTTATTATTAACTACTTTGGTTTCGCTATTTATTGCTCTTGTTTTGAAATTTAAAAAATGTAACGAAAACTTGCTGACTACTGGTAACGGGTTGCCGGGATCAAAGGTGAAATGGGACGACACTTTTTGAAAAAGAAAACTCAAGATTTTAAAGGTCATTTGACAACTTTTTCAAATACCAAATTAGGCGAAGTGGTTAATTTGGTATTTTCAATAGGGATAAGGCATAATTTTGACTACGATCTTATTTTTCAAATACAATTTTATTCCTAATCTTTTGAGTGGTGTAATTTTGACCTTAATATTTTTTTTGTGCAATTTTGATCTTAAAAGGCTAGATCACACCCAAAAGATTTGGGACAAATTGCCCTACCAAAAAATCAGGGCAAAATTGCATATGAGAAATAAAATGAGGGTGAAAGGTGCACCTTAACTTTTTTTAACATTGAAACAAATTTTAAAGGTATTTTTCGTCATTTTTTTAAATAAGATCTTTAATGCCTTAAAATCTTTTGTTTTGATTCTTCATGAGAACATACTCTACTTACTTAACTTTTGTTATTTGACATGACATGGGCACTTATGCTACTCACATTTTTGCATCTTAAAGAAATGTGATTTTTTAATCCCTTGCATTATTAACAATTTAAATGTGATAAAATCAATTTCAACCACTAATGTTCGATTCCATATTTTCAGAAAAAATTTACATGAAAAAATGAAAAAACTTATTCAAAAATATGTTCGTTATGTGTTTTTAAAAATAAAACACCAGAATACTTTTTTTTTTATATGTTTGATTAGTCTTTGTTCTACAAAATTAGAAAAAAGGGGGATAAATAATTTTTTTATTAATGGCCATTGTACTAATAAAGAAAATATTTTTTAACCCGATCATTTTATTTATCTACCACTTCCGATTCTTAATATAAGAGTTCATTTGATTTTATTTTAATCCTAAATATAAGATCCCAATCCATTTTGTCTCTCATATTTATTTATTTTTTTCAAAGTAGTTCTTGTAATAATGGTAGTTCTAACCAACATACTTAATTACCAAGGATATTTTAGAAAACATAATGCTTATTTATTACAAATAACTAATTTAACTAATTTTCTTAATCTACTCAAATTAATCAACTAACTCTTATATTAAGTACGGGAGATAGTATTTTTTAAAATGACAATTTAAATAGAATTTTTAGTATTTACATATTAGCGTTTTAACTTTTTATATTAAAGGGGAGGAAGTAATAAAGAGAGTGGCAGCATCAAGCTTTTTCAGGTTTTCTCTTTATTCTAACTTCATGACACGATATGCGAGTGGGGGTGGATCCATTCCGTGTGTAGTTAACTGATTATTTTCCAGGCTTGTGGCCTTAGCTTCAAGGAAAGTAGCAGGATACACACGGATATATAGAGAGGGAGAGAGAAGAACGAAGGTGCGTGGGAGAGATGGGGGGAAGCTTTATTTCCATCATGCTGAGCAGCGGGCAAATCAAAATTGACATGATCCCCAAATTCTGGAAGAAGATATGGGACGAGTGGGATGTGCACGGAGTCATTCTCCTCAGTCTCTGCCTGCAGATCTTTCTCATCTTCTTCGCTTCTTTAAGAAAGCGCACAAAAGGCTTCTTACCCCGCGCAATCTGGTTAGCTTACCTTCTTGCCGATTGGGCTGCGAGCTACTGTGTTGGGCTCATCTCCAATAATCAAAAAGCCCACTCAACCAAAACCACAAGAGACCACCTCACTGCATTTTGGTCTCCTTTTCTTCTGCTTCACCTTGGGGGTCCGGACACCATCACTGCTTATGCTTTGGAGGACAATGAGCTTTGGCTCAGGCATCTTCTGGGTCTCATTTTCCAGTCTGGCACAGCTGCTTGCATCTTCGTTTTGACACTTCATGACAACTCATTGTGGTTCCCAACCCTTTTGGTGTTTGTTGCTGGACTAATAAAGTACGCTGAGAGAACTCGTGCTTTGTATGTTGCATCATTCAACGCTTTCAGGCAATCCCTAGTTCCAGACCCAGGCCCCGATTACGGAAGGCTCATGGAGGAATTCTATTCTCGGAGGAAGGCCGGACTTCCTGCTCAGATTGTCACCATCTCGGAGCTTGGGGGTACCAGTGATGCAGGCAGCGAATATTGGAGCCAGGGACCGAATGAACTTGAGGCGGTTCGGAAAGGTTTCTTCTTCTTCCAAAAGTTCAGAGGTATCATTGTTGACATGATCTACAGCTTCGATGACCGTCGCGAGATCCGACGGTATACGGAAAGCAAAGCGCCAGAGGAAGTTCTCGAGGTGATAGAAGTCGAACTTAATTTCATGTATGAAGCTTTCTACACCAAAGTCACGGTAGTACGCAAGTGGTTCGGGTACTGCAATAAATTTATCTCCTTCACTTTTGTTCTGTTGGCTCTTGGACTCTTTATTTTAGAAGAGAAGCGTGGTTTGGACAAGTTTGATACAGGTGTAACTTACGCTTTGTTATACGGCGCTCTGGCCTTAGACACCATAGCTTTCGTCAAGCTCTTGTTCACTGAATACACAGCTACTCTTTCCCTGGAATCTCAAGATTTGAAAGGAGTCCCACTTTTCCAGCGATCCAAAATGAGCTTGCTCAGAAAGTTCAATGACAAAATGTTGGTGGGTTTCCTTCGGTGGAAGAAACCAAGATGGGCAGAAATTAAGGAGCAACAGCAGCCTGCTGATTATAAAGAACTGTCCACTCCAGTACTATATCGCAGATGGTGGGGATCAATCTCACGTTACAATTTGATGAAATATTGCCTGGAAATGCCTGTTCATCAAAAGATTCCTCGTCACCTTAATGAGAAACCCTGCATTGAACGATTTCAAAAGAAATGCTTCAAAATTGTGCTGTCCGCACAAGGTGGTTTCTATAAAGTGGCCCACCTTTGTGGCTTTCGAGATCTTATTGACCAATGGAGGTTCAAGGAGGACATGCCGTTGCCTAAAGACCTTTGGAGATATATCTTCAAGCAGCTGCGAGAAAGATCCAGTCGTGTTTGCGGTGAAGATGCGGAGATGTTCCGAAGAATGTGTTTCGTGAGAGGTGAGTGGGCTATCAAGGAAGCAAAACTGCATATGTTGATGCCTTTTGTGGACCCCGAGGAAGTGGCTTTTGATCAAAGCCTCATAATGTGGCACATTGCTACTTGCCTCTGCTACTACAGCGAGAAGAACAACGGGGAGCATTTTGATGAAAGAGATTACAGCATGATTCTGTCAGACTACTTGATATACCTTCTAACAGCGCAGCCTGCGATGATGTCTTATGTGGCAGGAATTGGACAAATAAGGTTCCAGACAACATGTGAGGAGGCGAAAAGGTTCTTCAGCAGAAAGAGCCTGGACCTGATAACGGATCGGAGGGAGAGGCTAGAGGAAGCTTGCCAAGGTATAATGGCGGTGCTTGAGGATGTGGCGCCCGAGCATTTGACGAGCGAATGGAGCATATCACTCTTGTTTGACGCATGCAGGTTGGCCAAAGAGTTACAAAAAATAGAGAATAATAAATGGGAAATTATAGGGGCAGTGTGGGTGGAACTGTTGTCATTCGCTGCAATTCAGTGCAAACCTACGGCGCATGTGAAGGTGTTGAGTGAGGGTGGCGAACTTCTTTCGCTTGTTTGGCTGCTCATGTTTCATTTCGGTCTCGGCAACTTCCAGTTCAAAGACCCCAGGACTAAACTCTTGATAGGAAAGGTGGTCCAGTAGACTTTTTGATTTTATCAAATCAATTTCTCCCATGCATCTTGGATTCATATCTCTGGCCTAAAGGAAAAGCCATTGTGTTTGTTCATGTTTTTAACATTCCTATACTCTCTTTTGCTTCTACTGATAAATATAAGATGCTTGTCGACTAATTAATGCAATATTTTTCAATTTCATCTCTACTGAATACAATAAAAAATATATGTGAGAAAAAATGTACATCACATATTTTTTCTAATACCACTTCTTTAGTAGAGGCAAATATGAAAATTTTTATCAATTTAATGCATTTTTTGATATGTGAGAATGTAGTACAAATAACTTACATGTAAAAACAGAGTGATACTTATATATGAATTCATTTTCCTTTTTATTATATATAAGTTTTTCTTGTTTTAGTAAAAACAAATCATTAATGTTGGTGTGAATGCAAAAGATATTTCTACCATTCTCTCTCTCTCTCGATAAAATCAAAATATGCATTAATGGACAAAAGTGAAGGATACAAACTGAGAGAGCATGTCCTTTGCATCTAGCAAGAGGTACGAAAAGAGTCCATAGGATAACACTCTGGCTTAGCAACATTCGAATATGTGTAAATTTAGTTAAGTTACAAATCAAGGAAAATGACGAAGTGTGCAAGACAACAGATTGATTGAATAAGAAAGTAAGTGATTTCAAAGCGGCACGTGAGAAAAATTTTATCTCGACGTGTATGAAAGTATTTTTCACCCAAACCAAAGGCCTCTTATGTCTATAATGTACTTTCTGATGATGACTGGATTTTATTATTCTTACAAAATTTACGTTTTAAGTCTTTACTTGTGAGAACAATCATAGCGATTTAATTCATTTCATGACCAACAAAATTTCAAATCCAAATGTAAGATTTTCGGCTCATATGTACCCAGACGCGTTGGGGAATTCTGATGCGAAAATCAAAATAAAAACAAATTTAAGAGGCCAAATATTATATTAATTTGTAAAATTATCCGTGTCGTATGCTTTTATATTGTAGCACTGGTTTTTTTCCAATCATGCCTCGCAACACGACTTGGGAAATCAATGCAAACAAAACCGGAAAAAAGTTAACAATGTTGCAGAAATACAAATCCCACATTCAAAAGTAATAAGAGACACAACATATTACAATGTGTATAAAAGCTTTTAATTTTCCCAATCAATCAAGAAATACAAAGTTATTTTAGTGAAATTAAAAGCGCTAGCAAAGACGGTACCAAATTAAAGTCAATGAACAACATCAACAACGACAGCGAATGGAAAGCCACAAAGCCCACGGTGATGAAAGGAAATGGCCGATGGGGAGCTTTCAAATAATGACCAAAGCTAAAACTGATGCAGAACCTCCAAGCAGAGCTATGATGAATGTTAGAATGTGAAGAAGGCGAGTGCTCTGGGGAGACAGCTGAACAAGAACTGTTCTGATCACCAACGTTAGATGGTAAAGAACAATAATCAAAACCAGAAACATCATCATAAGTTTAATGTGCTGGTTTTTGATCAGAGGGTTGGCTTCTGTGTCTACCGCGTTCTTGGCTGCAAGTAAGGCAATCAACACCGTTGAGAATTTGTCCATGATCTCTCGTAATTCTTTGAAGAGTTTGACCACTTGCTCCCTGAGCATATTCATTCAGAAAATCTTTAGAAATGTCAGATAGAAAGACGGTAACGATCTAAATTTTGTTAAATGAAACTAAAAACAGAGCAACTATGTTCAATGACAACATCTGTATCTAGCCCATACGTAGCATGAATATATGTTAAGCAAACACAAGATATTCCTGTTTTCTTCAAGAAAAATTCGACGGGAGAAAAAAATCAATCATCTCAGGGAAATGCTGAACATGATTTCTTACCTATGATGCAGAGAAACCCAGATTTCAGTCACAATCTCCAAAATGGTTAACGGGAACATAAAACAGAGACGCATGAGGGAGAGAAGAAGCAAGTAAAAGCAGAGGAGGAGGATGAAGAGTGAAAGATGATATAGAAAACACAAATCTCAGTTACAGTCTCCGCAAGATCAACAAGAATATAAAACAGAGAATGATGGAGTGAGAGAAGAAGCATGTAAAAACAGAGCATGATGAAATGTATGTCAGGTTCTTGCATAGTTTTGTAAACGCTGAACACCGCGTACCTCATTGAAGCAGAACTAGTAGAAATAAAGGGAATGGCTGGTTCTGGTTTTGAGTGTCGCAAAAAAGAATGAACACGTTTGAAGAGCGAAGGAAATGGCCACATTATATAGAAAGAGAGAGAGGGCGAAAGTGAAAAGAAGTCAAAGGGTGGACGGATTGCTCTGCATTTTCTGGGTGGGAGTATTAAACGTTTTATGCGCCAAGTTTAATACGTGTCCAGGTGAAACGCTTGCCCCACTCGCCTTCCCCCCCCCCCCCCCGGGGGGGAGAGACGAACCAATGGTATTTTGATTCCCACCTGCACGGAGATGTAAACCATGAATCAATCCGCGAGCAGATTAAAAATTAAAAAAAAATTAAAAATTGGAAAAACTGCCCCAGTGACTTGATAAATTTTTATGGCCAAATATCTGAGAGAATACTCTACAATGCATAGAGCACAACTATTCTAATTTAGCCCCTCTACATTGATAAAATTGTCAACGGGAGACTTTCGCCAGTTTTTTTTCAATTATTTTATTTAATTCAATTCTCAAATTATTTTATCACTACTCATTCTATGATCCTTAATGCGATAGCCAATTAAAAATTGAATTTGATTCTAAATATAAGATTTTAAATTTATTTTATTTTCTAAATTGATAACTGTTTTTCTTAAGATATTATTATTGATTGTAGGGGTATCCCACCAAGAATAATGAAACATGATATTTTAGAAAAATCAACACAAATTTATTATAAATAATCAATTTAATTATTATTTTTAATATTTTTAAATTAGTAATTTAACTCTTATATAAATTTTGCAACCAAAAAAAAAACTCTAACATAAACTGTAGGAGGATTTCGACCCGATCGACCTCATCAAGCTATTGGCCGATTTTCTATCCTACTAATGAATTAAAGGCCAGTGCAACTTTTTTATATTTCTTGAATTAGTAAACCAGTATATATAAGCTACTGCTACCTAGCTCTCCTCCTCATTAAAATTTAGAGGGTATTTGAATAGAAACTAACTCATGGTTTTAAAAATATTTTTATAATATCGAAGTAAATATGTAAAGGAGTTGTTTCGTTTTACGAAAAAGTACTTTAAGAAACAATTTTGGGTGCTTCCAAACACCCCCTTAGTATAGACAGTTATATTTTCTTACAGATTTAATCAGCTTAACTGGTTTTATTTTGGGGGGGGGGGGTGTGGACGTAGCTAGTTATTGGTACTAAGATTATATGGGAGGTAATAGTTAGGAAACGATGTGGTCGAATCTTGTGGCTAATTTTATTGTCGTCGTTTCTCTTAAATTAGACTATTTGTCGTGATGTGCAGTTGAAGAATCCCCCTCCGTGCCCAGTCCTCTGCTTCCGGAGGCGAGGTTTCATGTTCAGAGGGAGAACATGAGATAGAAGATTATAAAAGAGATGCATATTTTGTTCTGGTTTAATTTCTAGACTCTTCCAATCATATCTATTTTTAAAATATTTCCCCCGTTTCTCTTCATCTGTCTTTAATCGAAAAAAATATACCAACTCAGGAGAAAACAAATCCATATGCTATGTATTAAAAGTTTTTTTTTTCCTTTCTCATTTCTGACCTCTATTTAATTTTACACTATTTTAAATATTAACTGCCTCCATTAATGTGATGCATCCATCTAAAAATTAAATTATTGGAAACAAATAGTAGCTATACCTTGAAAATTTGGTCTGGGACATATATTTAAAAATAAAATGAGAATCTAAATTAGCACCATATAACAAGAAGGAAGCAAGTATATATAAAATCTTTTAAAGCTTATAATAATGTTGATTCATGTTGCTCAATCGTCCATTCATGGGTGAGTCATAAAAGAATCTGCATATAAAAACATTATCAAACATGCTAATTTACAATATCGTAATCTAAAAAGTTAGTTTATCGATCAGATGATCTTATGCGGAATACTAATTTACCAACGTACGTATTATTAATTGGAATGATCCCCCGAACGTCTCTAGAACGAGCATTACCCAAATTTACACCTTCACTGAGAAACTAACGCTAAGAAGATAAGAAAAACAGATGGGCCCCACCGCGTCCGATTCAAGTTGCCACATGGTACGTGTCATTCTGAAATCCTGCGTGTCCTCGTCCACATTACACGTGTCATTGCTTCGTTGCTTTTACTGTGGTTTAATGAGCCGCTGTCACTTGCAGGTTAATTCTTCTACTGTTTACCCGCCACTCAAAAAGTCACCGGTTGTTTATATCCATAGGATCATCAAATCTCTGTAAATCATGAACCTTTTGTGTTTGAGCAGTGTGCGACTTGGTCAATCAGTTTCGTTCTTCTCATATTTTGTTCCGATCCAATTAAGAATCTCAAACACCTGAGGGTGAGGAATATGGCTTCACAGCAGCAAGACAAATAAGAGCTTGCTCAGAGGGCTAGGCAGGGAGAGACGGTTGTCCCTGGTGGCACTGGAGGCAAGAGCCTTGAAGCTCAAGAATACCTAGCTGAAGGCAACTCTCTCTCTCTATCTCTCTCTGTCTCTCTCTCTCTCTATCTCTCTCTGTCTCTCTCTCTCTCTCTCCCCACGTTTCTCCGGATTAATTACAATGGTTTTGTAGTGCTTTTAGAGCACCTTTGGTCATGTTTATAGGCTATTAATAACACGTTCCTTGCTTTGTGATTTTGTATAAATGGCCAGAGGCTTTTATATATAGCCAATATATACGTATTAGCCATTCTTTGAACATGAGAATTAAGAGGGTTTGCGCCATTTTGTGAAACACAATAAGGATATATGCCATTTTCACATGCCATTTATTATCAGACTCATACAAGTGATCTTTCTCATGTT